TGTCTCTTGCCACCCAACATGCCAGCATTCAGATACAGTCATTCACATGCATGTAGAGCCCTTTCTGCTATTGCCCCACACTAAGCTCCTTGTAGTCTAGGACCTTAGCTTACCCTGCCCCTGTCGCAAATAGAGCTACAGGGATAGTGATACCCATATGGAAAGAAATCTGTTAATACCCAGTTGGTAGGCTGTTCTTGTAATCTAGGCACGGGGAGTGGACCTGAGTAGGGGAATTAGCTATAAGGATGAGAAAAGATAGGATCTGAAGACTAGCCAGAGGTATAGGGGAAGGAGAGAGGAGGATTAAAAACAAAAAAACAGCAAAAAACTCCCCAAAACCAAAAAACCCAAACCCACAGGATTTTAACTTGAGGAACTGGGAAAGATCTTGGTATCTTTGGTAACTGGGAAGCTGGTCTGTATGCATGCTGAGAGAAGTTGATGAGATGACTCAAACCCTCATAACCAAAGGGGTGGGGGAGGAGGGCGGAGGGTGAGGTAGAAATGACTAGAGGTGGCAAAATGGTTTAGAATGTTGGTTTACACATTTTGCTCTCTTCCTAGCAATATGCCCCTCTCCCTTTTGCTTTTAAAACTTCATGGGTTAAGAGTTTAAATGAACGTGTATTAAAGCATTTATGGATTAATTATGTAAATTGCATTAAAAATGTTCCAGAAGGAAAACATGCACATATAAAGTACACACGATGCAAGAAAGTGTGAGTGAAAAGTGTCTTCCACACCTGATTCCAGCCCTTTCTCTATAGTCCTGTTGCTATTTTTTTGTGTTCTGTGTTGGAGAGTTATTTTATTTACTAATTTTCCTATATAAGCTAATATGCTTGTCTCATGTTTTTTTGGCCAAAGTGGTAACACGGAGAATCTGTGGCTTTTTACCCTTTCTAACACGATGTTTTAAAAATCCTTACTCATCAGTACATTAATTTTAACTGCTGCACAGTATTTCATGGTATGGTTGGACATCATGGATAATCTTTTCTATAAATAAGGTCCCAACAAGATCTTTGTACAGGTTTTTGTGCACACATGCAAGCCTTTCAGTAGGAGAATTCTTACAAGTGGAAGTGCTTAGTCAAAGGTACACGCATTTAAAGTTTTTGATAGGATTTGCAAAATTTCCCTTCCAATTAGCTCTACCAAGCTACAGTGTTGCGAAAAAGCTTGAATGTGCCTAGTTCCCCACGTTCTGGCCAAGTATGTTAAGATACTTTTTGAACCTGGAGAATCAGGTGGAAAATGGTATCTCAGTGACGTCTGATTTGCATAATGGAAGGAGGGCTTTGGAATTTATTTTCAGCCAAATGTTGTCTGTACAAGTTTAATCTTTAGCTCATGTTAATGAAGCCTTCTAATCTCTTTTAATCAATTAACTAGTTGGTTTTGGACCAAAGTGCTATTCAGATGGGCTGATGTAGGATTACAGCCAGAGGGGAATAATTTAACCCAAAGACCAGTATTAAAAACAAACACTGATATCTTTTGGTTTTGTTGACTGTTTCCTTTGCTGTGCAAAAGCTTTTTATCTTGATGAAGTCCCAATAGTTCATTTTTGCCCTTGCTTCCCTTGCCTTTGGTGATGTTTCTAGGAAGAAGTTGCTGCAGTCGAGGTCGAAGGGGTTACTGCCTGTGTCCTCAAAGATTTTGATGGATTCCTGTCTCACGTTGAGTTCTTTCATCCATTTTGAGTCTTATTTTTGTGTGTGGAGTAGAGAAATGGTCCAGTTTCATTCTTCTGCGCGTGGCTGTCCAATTTTCCCAACACCATTTGTTGAAGAGACTATCTTTTTTCCACTGGACATTCTTTCCTGTTTTGTGGAAGATTAGTCGACCATAGAGTTGAGGGTCTATTTCTGGGCTATTCTGTTCCATTGAGTTATGTGTCTGTTTCTGTGCCAGTACCATACTGTCTTGATGATGACAGCTTTGTAATAGAGCTTGAAATCTGGAATTGTGATGCCGTCAGCTTTGGTTTTCTTTTTCATCGTTCTTCTGGGCTATTCGCGGTCCTTTCTGGTTTCATATAAATTTTAGGATTATTTGTTCCATTTCTTTGAAAAAAAGTTGATGGTATTTTGATAAGGATTGCATTGAATGTGTAGGTTGCTCTAGGTAGCATAGACATTTTCACAATATTTGTTCTTCCAATCCATGAGCACAGAGCGTTTTTCCATTTCTTTGTGTCTTCCTCAATTTCTTTCATGAGGATTTTATAGTTTTTTGAGTACAGATTCTTTGCTGCTTTGGTTAGATTTATTCCTAGGTATCTTATGGTTTTGGGTGCAGTTGTAAATGGGATCAACTCCTTAATTTCTCTTTCTTCTGTCTCGTTGTTGTATAGAAATGCAGTTGATTTCTGTGCATTGATTTTATATCCTGACACTTTACCGAATTCCTGTGTAAGTTCTAACAGTTTTGGGGTGGAGTGTTTTGCAACAGACAGAATGGGAGAAGATATTTGCAGGTAACATATCAGATAAAGAAAGGGCTAGTATCCAAAATCGATAAAGAACTTATCAAATTCAACACCCAAAGAACAAATAATCCAATCAAGAAATGGGCAGAAGACCTGAACAGACATTTCTGCAGAGAAGACCTCCAGATGGCCAACCGACACAGGAAAAAGTGCTCCACATTACTCGGCATCAGGGAAATACAAATCAAAACCACAATGAGGTATCACCTCACACCAGTCAGAATGGCTAAAATTAACAAGTCAAGAGACAATGGGTGTTGGCAAGGATGTGGAGAAAGGGGAACCCTCCTACACTGTTGGAGAGAATGCAAGCTTGTGCAGCTACTCTGGAAAACAGCATGGAGGTTCCTCAAAAAGTTGAAAATAGAGTTACCCTACAACCCAGTAATTGCACTACTGGGTATTTATACCAAAGATACAAATGTAGTGATCCAAAGGGGCACATGCACCCGAATGTTTATAGCAGCAATGTCCACAATAGCCAAACTATGGAAAGAGCCTAGAAGTCCATCCACAGATGAATAAAGATATGGTATACATACACAATGGAATATTATGCAGCCATCAAAATTTGAAGTCTTGCCATTTGCAACGACATGGATGAACTAGAGGGTATTATGCTGCACGAAGTCAGTCAGCCTGAGAAACACAATTGTTATATGATCTCACTGATAAGAGGAATTTGGGAAACAAGACAGAAGATCACAGGAGAAGGGAGGGGAAAAATGTAGCAAGACGAAACCAGAGAGGGAAATAAACCGTAGAAGACTTCATGTCTTCTATTTGTTCTTGGGAACAAACTGAGGGTTGCTGGAGGGGCAGTGGGTGTGGGAGGGGTGGGGTGGCTGGGTGATGGACACTGGGGAGCATATGTGCTATGGTGAGCGCTGTGAATTGTGTAAGACTGATGAATCACAGACTTGTACCCTGGGAACAAATAATACATTTTATGTTAATAAAAAAAAACCCATGAAATTAAATAAATTTAAAAAAACAAAGACTGATATATGCTTTTTAATGGTTGAGTCTCTTAAAAACTATATGGGAACATGGTGTGGTACATAATACAGGTAACTAAATGATGCAGGCATTATTTTTACCATTTCCCTCTAGATTAGGATGTTTCTGAACCCGTGGGAAGGAAACAGCCTCAACTCCAGCATGTGGGGCCGCAGAGCGGGCATTAAACCGGATCAGAATAGTCCAGTCCTTGCTCGGCAAGGCGCAGGGACGTCCTCTCTACATCTCCCGGGTGAACCGAGGGCATTCCGTTCGAGACCATTGCCATGGTCCCTTCACTGCCAGGTTGGAGAAGAGGCTACCGGGCTGACCGTGCTGTGGGAAGACGGTGGGAACTTTTCCCCGCGACACACGTCTCCCAAGTAGAACATAAAAGTGGGCAGCGTTTCACACCTGACCGGGATTCCTGGGCTGCCGCTGAGGTCCCTTCCCCCGGCTGCTGAGAGCTCCCGTTTTCTCCGTCTCTGGGGAAGGGTGGAGTCAGCCAGCGGGGAAGGCAGTGGCGGGGTCCCATATTAGGCGTCCAGCCGTCCCTGGTGATTTGTTTTCGGGTCGCGGTGAAACGAGACACAAGAAAGATGCTTGAGTCGCGGCAGGTGCATCTGGCGCAGCTGGTCCCGGAGCCCGCCAAGCACCGCGTGGGTGCGCGGGTGTCGCAGCAGCCCAGGGCCCGCGGCGCCCCTTGGCCCCGCGCCCTCCGTCCCCAAGGGGGCACCCCAGGGCGGCTGTCCGGGCTGGAGGGGGCGGGGCGGAGAGGGCGCTCCCGCGTGGCCGGCTCGGGTCCCCAAGCCCGCGCCACCTGGCGAGAACGTGTCGTGCGTGACAGCGCCGCGCCCTGGGGTGTCAAAGCAGGAACCAAATACGAGTGGTTGGGGACCCGTTAGGGACGTGAAGTTCTCCCGACGCACTGGGCTGGAGGAGGAGGAGGAGGAGGAGGAAGAGCCGGGCGGAGACGGGGACCCGCTAGGGGAAGCCCCGGCCCGGGAGGGGGTGCGGCGGGCGGGGTCTCGCGCCGGTCCTCGCCTCCACTGCGCGCGGCTCTCCTGGCCCCGCCGGCCGTCTAGAGTCAGGAAATGCGGCTGGAAGGGGATGCTTGGCCGAAGCGCCGGGAAAGCCAGACAACGGGCAGAGGGGCAGCGCCGGGCCGGCCGCCAGCGCCGCAGTCAGCCGCAGCCCTGCGGGCCGCTCCACCCGGGTCCCGCCCCGGCACCGCCCTCCGCTTCCCTGCCCCCTCGCTTCCGCACCTCCGAGGCTGCCAGCCGCGGCGGGCGGTGACCGCGGCGGCGGAGGGGGCGGGGCCCGGGCGGCGGCGGCGGCGAGAGCCGAGACCCTGGCGCGCGCGCCGCCGCCCCGCCCGCTCGCCGGGTCGCCGCGCGCCGCCCCGCCCCCTTTGTGCGGTGGGCGCTGTTGCCCGGGCGACGGCGCCGCCCCGCCCAGGCCCCGCCCCTCCGCGGCGTCGGCGCCCGGGTCTCTCCGCGCGGCCGCTCGCCCAGCCGCAGTCCGCAGGAGCCGCCGCCGCAGCCGGCCGCGGGGCGGGATTCCGGGGCCGTCGCAGGGAGCGCGCTCGGCTCTCCGCGCCTGTGTTTCGCCCGCCCCGCTCCTCGCCGCGTCGGTCCGCTGGCCGGGTCCGGCTCACCAGCTCCGAGCCCAGGCTCCACGGCCGCCGCGGGGACCCGCCCACCGGACCCTGCCCGGGCCGCACGGCCGCCTGTTCGGACCCCGCCGTTGATGACACCTGGCAGAAGGCTACCATGGAAGGGGACGGTTCCGACTCGCTGGTGAGTGAGTGGGCGACGGGGGCCGCCGCCTCACGGTCCCATGGCGCCTCCCCGGGGGCCCCCCGCGCGCGCTCCTCCGCCCTTATCCGGAGGGAGCCTCTTCTCCGGAGGAGCGAGGGCGGGCGTGTGGTGGCCCCGCTTCCTCTTCGCCTTCCGCGCCCCGGGTTCCGCAAATCCGGGCGCCCCCTCTCCGCCCCTCAGAGGGTTGGACCCCGGGGCCCCTGGGCCCGCGAGGGGGCGCCGACCCGGGGCGGCTATCGCTCACCTGAGCACCTCGGGGCGTCGGGGCGGGGCTGTTGCGTGGGGTCCGTGCTGTCGGATTGCCTCGGCTCGAGGAGTCTGCCGCCTGTCGCGGCTGGGGGCGCGCGTCCGGTCGCCCCTTTGTCCCGGAGCGTCGTGGGGCGGGCGCTGGGGTCCCACTAGGACCCCCGCGGGCGCGGCCCAGCCCGGCCGGCCGTCGCCGCGAGCGCAGGCTCCTCCCTGGCTTCGCCGGCTCGCGCGAGGGAGGCGGGCCGGCCCTGGCCGCTGTCGGGGGTGCAAGGGGTTTTGTTGGAAAGGCTCCGATCTGCGGTTCTTTCCGAGTTGCTCGTTTGCCGTCGAGCCCCGTGGATTCTGAGACAGCCTGATTGTGGGAGCCGCCGCCTTCCCTTTCTCTTACATGGCTCTAAAATGAAAACTCATTTTTCTTTTGGGCCAGAATTACTTCGGGTCTGCTGTGGTTAGAAAACGTATGCCCTTCTTCTGTGTACCAGAGAGGTGGAAATGACTCGGGATCTTCCTCTGGGAGGTACACCTTCCGTCAAATGGGAATCTGTCTCGGACCTTCAGAACAGAATTTTTCTTTGAACCTATTTTGGACCTTCAGAAGGATATTCTTTCTTTTGAATCAGGTGTCAGATTCTCGGTGAAACGGGATGGGATGTGAACATTCTATTTTCTTTACCGTGAATTGTGAAGCGTGGCGGTCTTCCAAATTTAATAAAATCCTGAGATGATGCGGGCTTCTATGACATATGTATTGGATGATGCAGCAAGAAACACAGGAAAAGACCATGGACCGTGAGAAAAGCTAGTTGGATGTAGTGCTGTTGTCAAGGATTGTTAAAGCCCTTAGTGTCACTGGAGGGGGAATAGAAGAGCATACATTTTTATTTAATTAAAATAAGTGAGTTAATTCTATTCTAATTTTCTGTGGAGCTCCAGTAATTGAAATGATTGTACAGGGTTAGGAATACTTTAAAATCGGACTGTAAAGCTACAAGAAGGCTGAATATAGATTCATAGCACCTGCCTTTTTGGGTGGGGGCTGAGGAACTGCATATGGAAAGGGTGGTAAAAGGAGTATGAGGTCATCAAACCTTTTTGGTTGTTACAAGAGACTGAGTGTTTCTCCTGGAAAATAATGCAAGCCGGTAGTACTGAGAGCCCTTAAAATGGTGCTTTCCAGTCCTCTCCATCCTTTTCAATATTCATCAAGTGCTTTTAAGATAACCACTTTGCTAGGCAGCAAGAGAACCTCAAGCGTTTTAGCTACATTACAGTTGCAGCATATGAAAATTGGTCACATTTAATGTAGATTGCTGATGATTCAGCTTGTAAATAGATTTCAAGGAGGCTTCTGTGAACATTCTGGCTAACCCAGTTTTCGCCCCCTCTTGTCTGGGCACAGAGTTAACTGTGCTCCGAAGGAACATGGTCTCATCCTTAGTGTGCTGGCTTCTTAACTCTTACTGAAGTAACCTACTTTTTGGATGTCTCAGATGTCCTAAGTTAGTGAGTTCACGATGATTTGAGTAACTCCGTAATTGGTGGAATATTATGGTCCCCTCCTATTTCATGCTGATTTTTCTCTGACTTCAGTGTTTCCCATGTCTGTGTCCCTTCAGTTCTAGGCTGTGGGTGTTGAGGGGGGCCAGTGGTCTGGGAATTTCATTACGGGAAAGGAATTTCAGATTATACGCTGTTTCTTCATTCCTTTTGGCATGGTACACACACGTACTTACCAAGAGGTATAAGCGTGTTAATATATTCCCCCCACTAAGAGCGTTTGATTCGCTTTCTTTTCCTCAAGGTTACCATTAAGAATATCGAAAGAGAGCTCATTTGCCCAGCATGCAAGGAGCTGTTCACCCACCCGCTGATTCTCCCTTGTCAACACAGTCTCTGTCATAAGTGTGTAAAAGAACTCTTACTGACCCATGATGACTCGTTCAATGATGTGGGATCGGACAACTCCAATCAGAGCAGTCCTCGACTTCGGCTCCCGTCCCCTAGCATGGACAAAATTGACAGAATTAGCAGACCAGGTATGTGGTAGAAGCTTGGGGCCTGGGAGTTTCAGCGATATCTGTGGAGGGGAAATTATTTTTGCCATGATGTGGGTTGGTCTTTCTGGGTGGGTAAATTAAAACTAGTTGTAAAGGAGCCCTTCCCTTTTTTCCCATGTCAAAATGAACTTTTCTTGTCTCCTGGTATGCAGTTAAAGTGGGTTATTAAACACCAGCTTTTGTGTTAGACCCCTTAATAATCGTCTGTATCTTAGGGGGTGTTCTGAGCCTCTGGGGTCCTTTATATGAGGGATGAAATAATGGACCACAGAAGTACTTACTAGGGAATCCTCTGTCTATGGTACTGTGAAAATGAATATGCCATATTGACTATTCGTAGAAGGCTTTTGAGATGAGTTATTTGGTGTCATTTTGTTCTACCTGAGGATTTTTTCTTCTTCCAGCCACTTTAAATCCATTGTTTGAAATCAGGATTTGAATATTGTGTAGAATATTCTGTAGGGGTAGAATTCTGGAGTGATGGGAGTAGATCCACATGCAGAGCACATACACTGTACCTTTCTTTTTTTAAGATTTTATTTATTTGACAGAGAGAGATCACAAGTAGGAAGAACAGCGGGCAGAGATGAGGGGGGAAGCAGGCTCCCCGCTGAGCAGAGAGCCTGATGCAGGGCTCCATCCCAGGACCCTGAGATCATGACAGCCAAAGGCAGAGGTTTAACCCACTGAGCCACCCAGGTGCCCCACCCTGTACCTTATACAGCTAGAGTTTAAATTGTTTGGCGGTTGGGGTGGTATTACTTTCTTCTTTCTGGATATCCACTGCAGGAGTTAGATAGAGGAAAATGAATTGAAATCCCAGGGAAGAGGGCCACTGGGAATTCAGGGCCAACAGCATCAGTGAGGATCAAGGGGAGGCAGAGGTTTGGGTAGAAATATCTCAGTGTCATGTTAGGGATATTAGGAGAGGACACGAGTGGCCATAAGCCCCAGACTTCAGGCCTTCATTTCTGCCCAGTTTGGGCTTGGAGGTTTTAAGCTTGATCCTTTAGGCCACTCTGTTTATTTCTCCCTGTTGTAGCACAGGAATAAATTTTTAATCTTACATGTAAAAAAAAAAAAAAAACCTGTTAGAATCTGCTTTCCCTCATTTGCATTTAGCCAATGCTGTCTCTCTTGGTCCCCGCTGTGCCAGGGAATCTTGTCTTTGTGCTCCCTCAGACAGTGGATAAGAGTGGATTTGATCTAAGAGTATTATGCTATTTTAAAAACACGTATTTTTCTTTAAATGGTAATCATGAATCACTTAGAAGCTGTTTTGCATGTATAAAAAATTACAAGCATATATTAAAAAAATAAAAAGAGCATGAAGTGACTGTGGATGCAGGGAGTGTGAGGTCAGAGAGGGTCACGGTTATTATGAAGTCATCACTTGTAGGTTTCCCTCCCTGCTAGGAGCTAGCTGTCACTGGGAGGAGGGGGAAAGACAGGTTTCAATAGCTTGAAATTGCCTTCCAGAGAAAACAGATAATCTCTTGGTAGATCCTCATTGGCTAGTTAGGGACAGAACCCCAGTTGGTTGACCAGGGAAATTCACTTTTTGTATATTAACATTTAGCACAGAGCGTTCAAAGGAATTTTAGTTACGTACTAATATTTCTATAATTCTGTGAAATCTTGTCTCTTACGTGGGCTTCTAATCTTAACATTTGGTTGGTGTTTATATGTGATCCTTATGGAGTTTGGGTGAAATACAGATGAATAATTAATTTAGGAGCTCACCTAGATAGTGCCTGGTGGATGTTTAGTAAATACATGTGGAGTGGTGGTTGCAGGACAGACCTCAGCTACAAGATTTCTACAAAGCCAACTCGGATGGCTTTTACTCAGTAATAGTGGCCCTTTTCCTCCCCAAGAACAAGAGATCCATTCCACCTTTAAGATCAGAAATGCAATTACTAAGAAGTCCTGGCTCTCCTTTAGGAAGAACCGTGTCAAGTTGTATCATGTCCTGAGAGGGCAGGGAGTTAGAAAACTTCGAAGGGCAGTTACAGGAAATAAGAGAGTATATTTACTCTCTTATTTGGAGAGGGAGAGACTGCAGAACATGAAGGCTGTCTAGAGAAAGAGAAAGTAAACTGGGTGTCTCCACAGCAGAGGTTCCAGATCAGTGAGTGAAGGAGGAATGCAGATCTCAGGCTCAGCGGGGAAAAGAAAGCAAACACGACAGGCTTTCCTAAGATGAGACTGTTAGCCCCCTGTCTGTAAAGTGTTCCCAGCGGGCTCAGATTTACGATACTGCAGGGACCAGATACATTGAGGAAGCCGGCCCCAGGCATAATAAATACAGGAACCTCTTTCGTTGTACTTCCTCGGTACAGAGACTGTAAATAGTTGATTTTCCCACTAAGTCAGCTGCCATAAGAAAACCAGCGGCCCAGGTAGCAGCAGCCACCTGACTCCAGGCCTCCCCTGTTAAGAGACAGCGGCGCCTGGTTCTGTGGACTAGAATGGACGCCTTGTCTCACCAGGCAGGAGGCACTTGGCACTATTTCATTATCATAGGGGTACAGAGGTGCCAGATTGTCAGATTACTAAACCCACCCCCCCAAAAAAAAACCCTGACAGTAGTTTTGATGTGTCATCTGTCTTAAACCTTGGCAGTTAATTCCAATTATTCAAAAACTCCATGCCGGCTCAGCACAGGATAGGGCAGCCAAAATACATCTTTGACTAAGACCCACCCAGCATTGGGGCCGCCCAAGTTTGAAGTCCTTGTTTTAAGCAGTGGACGAGGGACCGCCCTCTGCAGACATCGTAGAGGGGATTTCTGCCTTGGGTGGTCCGTCCTTGTATGTCAGGTGCTGTATCTTCTCCCACTCTGAAGTTCCCTACCTTGTGTTCATTTGCATTCATTCAGTCAACACACATGTCATTGACTTGCTGATTGCCGGATGCTGCTAAATGCTGAAGGGGAATGAACAAGATCAATCTGTCCCTCCCTTCTGAGAAGCATATAGTTTGACCCTGTACGGAACCTCATAGTTAGAACCCAGTCATTCATTAAAAAGAGCATAGGGAGCAAATGAACGAGTACAAAGAAAGCAGTCAGAGGGTGGGGAGGCCCTAAGTGTAGTAATCATTCCTGGAGGCTTTTATCAAATGAAGGTGGATTTTAGGATTGCCCTCCTCCTTGTGAAAACAGCTTTACATGATGAGTAGAGGTGGTAACATGACAGATATGATGCTGCCCTCCATGTATGGGGCATTTGCCTCTGATTTTTCTTTGCAGAGATTGAAAAAGAAATTCATAGGGAAGTAATGCCTCCCCCTTTTTCTCTTGGCAGATTTCTTTTTCTATTTTTCCTCATTTAGATGCACTTGGGAAGGAAGTCCTATTCTGAGCGATTGGTGTGGGAGGAGTAGAATTCTAAAAATTAGTTTTGCCACTGGTTTAATAAAGGGATTGATTAGACCAGGACTGCCCAGAACAGTCGCCACTAGCCAGCCACTGTGGTTCTTGAGCAGTTGAGATGTGCTCGTCTGAGCTGAGATGTGCTGGGTAGCATAAAACACCCCCCGAATTCCAGACACTTAGAGTGATGATCAACTAGGAACTACCTCCAGTAGTTTGTAACTCTCTTACCTTTTGAGGTGATGGTATTTTGGAGATAGTGGGTTAAAGAAATAACAGCTGTTAATTAAAATTAATTTCACTTGTTTCCTTTTCATTAATCTGGCTCCTGGGAAATTGAAAATGGCAGATGTGGCCGACGCTGTTGGCTCACGCAGCCCTTTTTTTGAATATCATTGCCTGGGAGATTTGACAGATTTTTTACAATAAAAGGGTGCCTGGAAAGGCGGGTAGGGTTTGTGTGTACAACACAGTAACACATTCAGTTACAGAAAAATAGCCATCTTAACTGTGCATTTTGGGTCACCTGTGCAAGCTTTCCCCCCATTTTGTGTTTCTTTTTGTCAGGAAGATACAGCCCATTTTAGCAACGTTTATTTACAAGGTTGATACATGTCAGTAAAAACAAACAAACAAACAAAAGATGCTTGCTGTGGCTGTGTATTTTCAACAGTTACTGGAGATACGACTCTTTAAAAATACGAATCTATAAGATAGGGTTTGGGCCTCTAACGGGCTGCCCCAACAATGATTAATTTTGAGCGCCAAGGTCTGCTCCATGAATGCTTTACAGCGAGGGTTTCATAAATAACCACATGTGCTGGGGGGAAAAAAAAACATTTTCTTACTGTTAACTCAAGAATTGTGCACAGGACACAGTTGCTGCTTTATCTTTTGTTAACAAGTTGTGAATCTTCTCTTTGAAATTAAATTCTAAATCCAGCTTTCTGTTCATTGTTCACAGCGTCACAACGGAGATCTTTGGGGTGGAGAGGTAGAAAATGCTTCATTGCTCGTGTGGCCGCAGGCAGCATAGTATTAGAGTTGACTCTAATAACCTTGTTTATCATAAAGTTCTTAAACATCAGTGGTCAAGTGTTCAAAATTTTCTCGAAAGGGGACAAATTGGCTGAATGACTTAAAGGTCAACAGGACTAAATTCCAAGCGAGGGCTGGTACGGTTTTTGTTTTGTTTTGTTTTGTTTTTTGTTCTTTTTTTAGGGCTGGTGGTTTTTAAAGGGGGCTCCGATCAGGAATGCTTCCCTTTTGTCCATCCACATGACAAGGTATTTTTGAAGAAAATTGACATACCCATGTTGGGAGCTTTTTTAAAAAATAACCTTAAAAATCCTTTCCATTTCCTTAGTGGAGCAAAGCTTCTATCCGTGGCCATCTTGCTACCTTGGGGAGGTTAAATGAGCCAGGACTTTGTTCTGCATTTAAAAATGGGCCTAAAGGCATTGGCAATTTTTTGTATTTAGTAGGAATGCCCTTCACTTGCTTTGTGCATAAGGTGTCTTTCCTCTGTTAATGGTCTAAAGTGTTTGAGTTTTAACACTGAGGTCTGTGGGTAAAGAATGTACACTGCTTTTTCAGGCTTTCCAGAGTATTTGACTCCTGGCAAATGATGGGCCAACCCTATCTTATTAAAAGGAATTTTTTTTTTTTACTATTCCAGTTGACCTTTAAAGTAAAATTGGCTACTTTTTTGTAGAATGCTGGTGATACCTTATATTTTAATGGAGAAAATAAACACCTGAAATGTTATCCCTTTTCTGTCTTCCTTACCTTCCTCTCTGTGTGCCTCAGTTTACACATCTTTATGGTTCTAAAAGCCACGTGTCATCCTTTTGCTCACAGGCTTTAGCGAATCCCTGAGAATTTCCAGCGTTGAGATTTAGTAAATAGGAGGAAACATAGGAGCAGTTGGCTTTAAAAATGTTCATTTCTTGTTTCTGATTTTTTTATTCAGATGGTAGTTGAGAAAAAGGGTTTGCAGGTTGAATATGACCATAGTACTCGAAGGTAATAGTAACTTTTAGGCATTGGGCGGTCATGCTGGTCTAAAAGAGGCATTAGCCCATTGCCAGGCACCTAGAAGCCCGACCTGAATATCCAGCAATCCGGGAGACACTCACCTCTGCCTGGGAGGTAACAGAGGGGAAGTAGCTTGTAGTCAGAATATGGGGGAGGTTGGAGCTATCTGAGTTGTTGAACCTGTTCTGAATTGACTCGGTTTTGAAATACTTGATTGATATTTAAACGACAGAACTTAATAATGCCTGAAAGCTCATTTTGCGGGGAGATTTGCTATAAACCAGTTGGAAGATTTTTTTCCGGAGTCTTCATTTTAAAATTGTATCATGAGTTACTTGTTTAATCTGTCTTTGAGGTCAGGGAATATGGGGGAAAAGAACTGATGCTGCAAGGTGACAGTTTCGGCCCCATATTATCGGCCCCATAAATGCAGTTTAACGTAACAGTTGCATTGCTTGGCCTGCATTGCTTCCTTACCTTCCACAGTTGTCATTACGTTTCTTTCTCATTATGTCATGGTATAGAGTAGTATCACCCAGTGGAACATTCTGTGATCATGCGAATGTTTGTTTGACCCTGTGTTCTAGAATGTGGGAGTTATTGGTCACAGGTGACTCTTGAGAATTTGAAATGTGGCTAGTGTGACCAAGGAACTGAATCTTTAAATTAAATTTAGATAGTGACATTTGGCTGGTGGTTACTATAGTGGACAGCAAAGCTACAGGGAGTAAAAAGTTGACTCTCTTGTGTTTCATTCTTAGTTCCACTGTCTTGATTTTTTTTTTTTTTTCACTAGACTGACTTCCCAGAATATCCTTAGGTCTCTTCTGTTTCCTTATTGCCCAGAACATACACTCTGTCATTTGCTTTTGAAAACAGTGATGGAAGTCCCTAAGACAGATGAACTAAAAAACATAAATGCTTCGGCATTAGTAGAAAAATGGGACACTTTTTTTTTTTTTTAGAGATCTGTTTAGGAAAACAGCTAAGGTATACTGTCTTAATATTTTATCTCATTAAGCTGGTGAGATGCTTTACACCTTATTTTTGGAACAAAAATAAAAGAGGTTTACAGAAAAGGGATGAACTGTCTTTTTTTCAAATTTCTGAACCTGAAGGCCACAATCTGGGTGTCACCAGTATATAGTAAAGCATGACTTTGTTGTCGTGATTTAGTTTGGTTTGATCCTGTTCCTTAAATTGATCACCACCTTCAATTAATAAAACCAGTAATAACCCATTTTTTTTTTTAATAATCTCCATTTTGATTTCTATCATCTGGGTCATGTGGGGAAGCATGCAGTGAAATGTGACTTTCCATTTGTTTCAACTTGACCACTGCACTCTGTCACTTCCAGAATTCTCGGCTTGTCTTTTCATGGAATGAAACGTTTATTGGCATGTGTCTGAAAAGTGGCTTTGCGGCTTATTTTGTTCTATGCCTGCCATGTTGTGAAATATCTTGGACTTGCGTTGCATGTTTTGAGAATTATTATAAGAATACATTTTATGTAGAGTTTTCTCATTTTTATGGGGCAGTTTTTTTGTCATGCTTTTTTTTTTTTTTTTATAGGTTTAGAAATGTCAAGGTAAATGAAGATCTTAACAATACTCTGCATGTTTTCTGCACAAGTAGTTTTGGGGACCCAGGGCCCCTTAGCATGCTGTAGAGTCACTTCAGATGAACAATATTCTGGGCTGATGGCTGAATTGTACCTTCAGTGACATCATGCCAGACCTATTTGAAGACCGTCTGTTCAGTGATGACGGTAATGTGCCAAGGCACTATTAACGTAGCTGTTGAAAGACCTTTTCTAAATGTGGTACGCTAACTTCAGCCATTCCTTTTTGGTACTGGATACTTGGCAGAATGAAGGAAGGCTTTAGGTGAAGAAGTTTTGTGTTTATAAATTAGGTAGTTAACTTGGTGGGCAACCAAGACTCGTCCTGACAGGGTAGATTCATGAAAGAGAGCAGTGAATGTGATAGGCATGTACTTAGGCTAAAGGGACAGCCCCAGATTCCTGTGAACATGTAGGTAAGGACGGCCACGTCTTGATTTCTTGCCCTGTTAAAATCAGGGTAATATTGAACAGAAGTGTGCTATCTATGGTCATTGACTGTATTATAAACCATTGGAAAATGGTTTATAATACTCTCTGGGTCAACTTGTGGCTTACTGAATTAAGTAATTTTAATGATTCTTTTTTTCAGGTCATAAGAAGATACTAAATGGTTGGTCCCTCATAAAGTCACTAGAGTCTAGGTCTATGGATGAGCTTTTCATTCTTTGAGAGCTTGTACTCAGTTAACGAATGACGTAGCCTACCAGATAAAACAGTACTACCGTGGGAAACTCTCTCACAGCGATTCTTAACTGTTTTGTGAATCCGATCAAAGCTATGGGTTGTTGAACTGGAAAATAACCATAGGTATATAGATGGAAAATTTTGCATACAGTTTCAAATAGTGTACGGAACTGTTTGGATCTTTTTGGAGCCTATCCATGGGGCACGGGTTAGGGACTCCTCTGTCATTTACATATGAACTCATTTTATCCGTCAGCCAAGGCTGTATTCACTTAAATGAAAACCAAATTAGTGGATATGAGATACAGAAATAACTACAAATATTAATGATATAATTAAAAAGTTGTGACCCTGTGTAGTATTGTATTCTGTGTTTAGTCCATATATCTGGTTTGCTGTGGCTTTTTTATGGGGTTTACTATAGCTTTTCCTTTCCTCTTTGATATGGGTCTAGTAAGTGGGGCTTGTCTTTTGTATATACAAAAACAAGCATTAAGCCTTTTTAGAATACTGATTCCAGTGGAGTCACTTTGAGTATTATTTCTGGGCAGGAGGGAGAGAGTGGTGTGGGGGAAGGAGCTATGTATGTAGATCTGTCTCTTTCCAAATCATCACTCCTTTCTTCTTCATTCTGTTCATTTTCCTACTGACATAACTAAACAAGGACTTCAATCACACAGGCTGGAAGCGCGGTTCCCTGACTCCTAGGACAACCACTTTCCCTTGCCCCGGCTGTGAGCACGACGTGGATCTCGGAGAACGAGGAATCAGTGGTCTGTTTCGCAATTTCACTTTGGAAACTATCGTGGAGAGGTACCGGCAGGCAGCGAGGGCGGCCACGGCCATCATGTGTGACCTCTGTAAGCCACCACCCCAGGAGTCCACCAAGAGTTGCATGGACTGTAGCGCGAGCTACTGCAATGAGTGCTTCAAAATCTACCACCCGTGGGGTACGGTGAAAGCTCAGCACGAGTATGTGGGTCCAACTACCAACTTCAGGCCCAAGGTAAGAGCAGTTTTGACTGCGTTAGAATATTAGTATTGCAAAAGGAGTTGTAACGCGTCCAGAGCTTGACAACAAGAATGGGAAGAGCTTAAAAAACCTGTATGAGAGGGGCGTCCGGCTGGCCTGGTTGGTAGAGTGTGTGACTCGATCTTGGGATTGTGAGTTCAAGCCCCACGTGGAGCGTAGAGCTTACTATAAAGAGCTAGCTAGAAATAAGATAGTGTTCATGAACATAGAAACCTGTATGTTAAAAAAAATGAGCGCACACACACACACACACACACACACACACACACACAGCCTGTACAAGAAATTGAGGCCTAGTATCTGGAGGTCTTTCGTAGGTGGGTAAACGCCTCCACACAGCCTGAAGGCAGAATTCTGGATCTCCATGTCACAACCCAAAGTAATGGAGCACAATGTTGGAATGTTCGTCATGATACCTCTGCAAACAGAGGAAAGGCTGCGTTGTCTCAGAGGTTCTCTGAGGTTGAGAAGGGTGTGAAGTTCAAAGGCTTTTTGTGCTTTAAGTGATAAACCCCTAGTTGTCTAAAACATCTGATTGGGAAGCATTTTTCTGATGCTTTCAGTTAGCTAAACTTGTGCTAGGGATAAATGACAGTAAGTACAGCCTAAGGTTCTGAAGCTTGTTCATGTAATAATCTGAAAGGGAATTCACATTTCTCAAATATTCTGGGTAATCTCTCTGATAATGCTCACAGGACCCTTACGCACTGTTGTTTGCCCTGCTCAGTGATTGAAAAGCAAAATGATGTTTGGATATCCTCATTTGTACTGTTTTCTGATTGAGATAGATTTAGAAAGAAAAAACCTAATAGATTCTTTTGATTAAAGTTCTTATTCCTTCTACCTTAGTAACTTGTGTGTGAAAATCTATTTATATTCTTGAGCATAAAACTTTGCCCTCACAATAATTTTGTAGTAGAAAAATGGGGCACGCCTGGGTGACTCAGTTGGTTAAGCATCTGACCCTTGATCTCAGCCCAGGTCTTGACTGCAGGGTCATGAGTTTGAGCCCTGTGTTGGGCTCCATGGTGGGTGTGGAGCCTACTTAAAAAAATTTTTAAAAAAATGGGACAAAAAAATCCTGAAGTTATCTTGAAACTATGAGCTGAGTATGTCTAACATCATATATCTATATGGGAAATTTCTTTGTAAAGTAAGCTCTGTGCCCATTGTGGGGCTCAGACTCACTAAGCATGAGTTCACGGGTCATGTGGTCTCCTGACTGAGCCATCTGGGCACCCCTCTGACATCATTCTCTGTGGGGCAGGGCCGGTCGGTTAAACAAAAGCAGTCTGGGCTTTCACCCTTTGACTCTGTTTTCAAAACTGTCCATGTGGCAGTAGATTGACCAAAGAGTTTTTAATCCCCTTTTCTGTTCCTTATCTCATTTTAAATACGCCAAGTCACAGCCTCTTAACAATTTATGACTTCAACTTGGTGCTTTAATGCCTCTTTTAGAAGATTAATTAAATTGATTAATACTGTTCCATTATGAAAGAATCTATGATGATTAAATGAATTATATTAGACTTGGGTTGTTATAATTTAAAAAACATGAAATCTCGAGTAAAATTCTTTTAGTCTACATTGCAGACTTAACTCTACTTAACAAATACAGTAGAAGATTGGTAAGAGAGAACTGAAGAGGTAGGATAGGTTATATTGAGGAAAATTTTGTTTTCCTTAAATTACAGTGTTATGCCATACAGTAAAATTCTACAAAGTTGCCCCTTACAGAATATTTGCCTATGACTTGGAGTTCTTATCATCCATCCTTGTAGAGAGCCAGATTTTATATTTATGCTTAAAACATAACTGGTTTTGAAAACTTAATGCAACATTGTGTGTTAACTATGCTGGAATTAAAACAGTAATAACAAATACATGTAGTGGTTTTGAAAATGTAGGAGGTTGGACATGCTGGAGATTTTAAATTTGTTTCCAGTTGTTTTTCTCCTGGTCCCACCCATTGGTGTAGTTGTTTTCATATTGAATGTTTCTTTGTGTCTTGATACTATCAAACCAACCATTGATGAAAATGGGAACTCTAGGAGCCACAGACAGCTTTTTGATTTCATGGACACATTAGTCTAAAGTAACCTCCTCTTGTTACTTCGTGTACAATTTCAGACATACCTATGGTGATAGTTTACAGAGTAAATAAGAAGGTAGCTACTTAGATGAGAAAAACAGAGTTTGGAAAACAACAACAACAACAACACAACAGTTCTAAATTTGGCCAGTGTGTGCATGTTTAATATGTAAAAGCAAACATCTGGAACCATGTATCAGAAAGTGTTCCAAGGCTTCTTAATACCAGATTGCTTTTTTGTTTGTTTGTTTTTGTTTTTAAGTAATATCTCTGCCCCATGTGTGGCTCAAGCTCACAACCCCCAGCTCACAAGCTTGGTGGACTGAGCCATCCAGGTGCCCCCTTCCTTAGTAGCTGATCTCTTACTAGGACAGTGAGGACGTGGGTTCCCATCAGTTATTTGCTGTGGTACCTTGCAAAAATACCGGTCGTGTCATTCAGGGTTGCCTGGTCAGTGTAGCCCAGGGCCCTTCTGGCTGGATTCAGCGAGAAAGCCTGATAGTGAAATTTCCACCACCTTAACTGCCAAATTTAGGGGCAATGGCATCTACAGATTTAACTGACCATTTGAACCCTCAAATTGAGAAATAGTAATTCTAAAACACCAAATGCTTTTACACTTTTATTGTATTTTTTTCACACTTTTATTCCTTTAAGTGGTTTTATTTAGTGATTTTTGCAAAGCATGTCTTTGTGTTTGGGGACTTCGAGTATCCTGGAAGCTCTGAAAACCCGTAATTACACCTTTGTTCTGCACTCAATAGATTTTAATGTGCCCAGAACATGAGACGGAGAGAATAAACATGTACTGTGAGTTGTGTCGGAGGCCGGTGTGTCATCTCTGTAAGTTGGGCGGTAATCATTCTAATCACCGGGTGACCACCATGAGCAGCGCCTACAAAACTTTAAAGGTAGGATTTGTGCGTTTGGGGAACTAAGTGTTGAGTCTTTTACAACGTCGGTTTTACTTTATGCCTTTAGCTTTTTCTTTATAAAATCATGGCTGAAGTATGGTCTCGTTTTACTGCAGTGAGTCATCAGTGTAGAGGGTCCCTCACTGATGTCATGTGAGGTTATTAGCGTGTTTGACTTGGCAGTCCTTGGTCATGTTGATGGACTGGTTCTGGAGAAGGAGGGGGTGAAGACCACTCCATGACGATCCCCACATGAGCCCAGCGCTTGTGGTTGAGTATGTGTAGAAATGACACTCTTGTTGAGTGTGTGTGGAACTGACAACCCTTTTGAGGGTGTATGTGTGTGTATGTGGAAATGACAAACCTGTTGAATGTGTGTGTGGGAATGCCACACCTTTTGAGTGTTTGGAAATGGCATTGCTGTTGAGTGTGTTTGGAAATGACAAGCCTGTTGAATGTGTGTCTGTGTGTGTGTGGAAAAGATATGCCTGTTGAGTATGTATGAGGGAATGCCACACCTGTTGAGTGTGTGTGGAAATGGCACACCTATTGAATATGTATGTGGGAATGCCACTCCTGTTGAGTGTGTATGTGTGTGTGTAAAAGATACGCCTGTTGAGTCCATGTATGGAAATGCCACATCTGTTGAATATGTGTGAGTGTGTATAAAAGATAGGCCTGTTGAGTGTGTGTGTGGGAATGCCACACCTGTTGAGTGTGTGTGGAAATGACACGCATGTTGAGTGTGTGTGTGGGATTGCCACACCTTGAGGGATGGTAGCTATGTTCAGGCCCTTAATTCCTATTGCTTCTCTATAGAAATAGTGGAAACTTCATTTATAGTAAGGGTCTGGTTGGAACCCTTACCACCTAAAACTGAGTCACTTCCTTTCTCTCTATCGGAACCTTATACACGGACCTTTGAAAACTTTCAGGCTTGTTTGATAAGCTATAGCAAGGGAGGCAGTGGTATAATGCTATTTTTTGTTTATTCTTTTTTTCTTTTAAAATGAGATCATCATTCATAAATGAGTTTCTTTTCTACCTTTATTTTATTTATTTATTTATTTTTTTTAAAAGATTTTTATTTATTTATTTGACAGAGATCACAAGTAGGCAGAGAGGAAGGCAGAGAGAGAGAGAGGAGGAAGCAGGCTCCCTGCTGAGCAGAGAGCCCAATGTGGGGCTTGATCCCAGGACATCTGGGAACATGACCTGAGCTGAAGGCAGAGGCTTTAACCCACTGAGCCACCCAGGCGCCCCTCCTTTCTACCTTTAATGGTATCTACTTGCCTTTTGGGGCCTAGATCAAATTCTAACTTAATGGCTTTCTCTTCTGCATTTGATATGTCTATCATGCTCAGTCCTCCTCCTGCTTTGACTACGTGGATTACGGGCGTAACCGTTTTATTGTCCTGGTTTACTGATTCTGTCATCTGTCATTGCTGGTCAATTTTGTAAATTTTACCTTGTTGGGCAGTGGATACTTCATGACTTATAGACATTGTTGAGTTTCTTCTAACGTGTGATTAATTTCCCTCAGAACAGTTGGCTGCTTTTGGACCTTGCTTTAAGTTAGGACAGAGCACCATTCAGTTCTGGGGCCGATTTTACCAGACTTCTCTTCTCCTTTACTCTTCTCAGTGCCTTTTGGATTTTGAGTTTCGAGGGGTTTTTGATTTGTTGTTTAATTTGTTCCGTGCATCACAGGCACTATTTCCAGCAGGGTTTGAGCTCCCGAGTTGTTCTTTGTCATCCTTCTAGGTGATCCTCTCCCTGGCCTCTGAAAGTTTCCTGGCACCTGGAAATTGGTCAGTATTCTGCTGAATAAGCCACAGGGACCCTTGGTACACTCTCTAGAGTTCTTTCTGGCACTTTCTGTTCTTGAGGATTTTGCTTTACAGGCTCTGGTCTCCCTGGACTTCTCAGCTTTGTCTCTTCATCTCCTGGGAGACCCTGGTCCCCTGAGTTCCCCTCTGCACTTGGCCTTGGAGGACGCTGGGTCTAGACAGGATGGTGGGCACAGACATGGGTCTGTCTTGTTTCCCTCTCACAGGACTGTCTTTCTTGATGTCCAGTGTCTTGAGAGCCATTTCAAATACTCTGTTTCAAGTTTTTTTTTTCTTTCAGGTGGGACAGTAGATCCAGTCTTTGTTACTCATTTGTGCCCCCCAGTGGCATTACCATTGTTTGCTAATTAAATTTAACTTTTTAAAAAAGATTTTATTTATTTATTTGACAGATTGATGGCGAGAGAGCACAAGCGGGGGTGGTGGGGAGGGAAAAGCAGACTCCCCGCTGAACAGGAAGCCTGATGCGGGGCTCAATCCCAGGACCCTAGGATCATGACCTGAGTCAAAGGCAGATGCTTAACTGCCTGAGCCATCCAGGTGCTCCTAAATTTAACTTTTTTTTTTTTTTAAAGATTTTATTTATTCGTTTGAGAGAGAATGAGTGAGAGAGAGCATGAGAGAGGAGAAGGTCAGAGGGAGAAGCAGACTCCCCAAGGAGCTGGGAGCCCGATGCGGGACTCGATCCCGGAAGTCTGGGATCATGACCTGAGCCGAAGGCAGCTGCTCAACCAACTGAGCCACCCAGGCGCCCCTAAATTTAACTTTTGACACCTCTTTTTTTTTGTTTCTTAGTGGTTTGGTCTTATGCAAGCTGTCCAAAAATTTTTTCTGTAACCTGGAATAAATCTTTGATAGTAGAATCCCTTTAAGTTAACTCTTTCGCTCCATTGTTAACTCTTCTCCTAGTGTTTCAGACTTTTTTTTTCTTCCAATAGACTCCCATCATGGGTTTTTCAATTTACTCACTTTTTAATGAGGATAAACTTTAGATTGACACCTTTGTCAAAAATAGCAAAGAGATCTCCCTTAGATCTTTTTACTTACTTTTGGGCTTTAAGCAGGAGGGCTACATGATACGAGTTTATATTATTTCCATTTTTTAAAAGATGCATTTATTTGGGAGGGAGAACATGGTGGGGAGGGGCAAAGGGAGAGAGAGAGAAACTCAAGCTGGTTCCTCACTGTGTGTGGAGATGGACACAGGGCTTGATCGCATGATCTCAAGATCACTTCCTGAACTGCAACCAAGAGATGGATGCCTGACCAGCTACACCACCGAGGGGCCCCTCTACTATTTTCATTTTTATACACTCAAGTATTGCAAAGACAGAAGAAAAATGAGCCTCACGGTGGTGTGACCTTGTCCATCTCATTACTGCTGTTTGTTGAGATGGCTGAAGCTGAGGCCAGGCTTCCCGTCTGCCCCTGTTCGATCTGGCTTCTGATACCAGTGGACTGTGTTGGAGTGTATGACCTGTCCTTGGAATTGAGGGAGCCCTTCCGCTGGTGGAAAGTGCTTCACTAGCGCTTTCAGGTGAACTGGCCTAAATAGTGAATAATGGAGAGGAATGGGCCCATCTGTTCCTGGCAGTCCTCTCTTCTACTGTTGGGGTGAGATATGTTTTTTTAGTCTTGTTTATGCTTCCACATAACCTCACTCCTGTTTATCCCTGGACAGAAAGACACCTGCCTGGTTTCATCTCCTGTTACTTGCCTTTGTTTAGTGACCTCGCTTTCCCAGCAATACGGAGTCCTTCCCACCTTCCAACACAGGAAACCATGTTTACGCTCTCCTCTGGCCAGTTTGGACTGCTAAGGCTTCAGAATCCTACTTTGCCCTGAACAAGGCCCCACAATTGGGTGTTCATTGTCTCTCCCTCACTCTGGCCTCATCTCAGCAGCCTTCTTCTCCCAACTGTGGGTGTTAGTGGGTTTTCTAAAACTTTCTCAGCTTCCACACAGCAGTACAGTTTCTCATTAAGGGAGGGTTTGTTGAGGGGCACCTGGGTGGCTCAGTGGGTTAAGTGTCTGCCTTTGGCTCAGGTCATAATCCCAGGTCCTGGGATTGAGCCCCATGTCAGGCTCACTGCTTGGCAGGGAGTCTGCTTCTCCCTCGCTCTCTGCCCCCCCCATTGTCTTTCTTGCGCCCACACCCTCTTTCTCTTAAATAAATAAAAAAATGGGTCTTTTTAAAATTTTTTTTAAAGGAGGGTTGGTTGTTAGCTCATCTTTCTTCACTTGTCCACTTTCTTATAGTTGAATGGTTTTCTGAGGACTATTTCCTGAGGACTTTTTCCTACTTTCTTTATTTCCATAAATTTCTAGAAGAAGGTTAGTGATCTTGTTCATGTGCAGTTATGTCTTCTCTAAGGGGTGGCTTTGTGATTTTAATCATAATTGAAATGACTGGAAATAGGACTTAAAATAGAAAATGTACACATCCCTGTAACGAGTCCCAGTTGAATGAGAAGGTAATACGGTTTCTATATTTTGGGGGTATGTGAAATTTGTGGAGAACATAATGCCCTGTTCTCTGAAGTCATTTGGAAGTTGATTAAAATGTATCTTTCTATGCTTTTTCTTCCCATCATTTTATCCTACATTTTCAGACATGGGGCAAAGCTGAGAACACCTTTTAAATGATAAGCCCTAAGGGGGCAGGAAGCATTGGTTATATATTATTCTCCTAGCCTGCTCCCGTGAAAGATACTCAGTGTGACTGTTGAATGAATTTCTCTTCCTTTTTCTCTCCCTTCTCCCTCATTTTGTGGACTCCTGTTTCTCTGGGTACCTTTGATCTGTGACCTGATTAAAGGCCCGATGCAGTGGTTCTCAAACTTGCATGGGTGTTAGAATCACCGGGAACACTTAGTTTAAAACTGCAGAGGGCAAAGCCTGTCCTCCTCGAGGGGCTCTGTGGTGTCTCTCAGCCCTCTGGATACTGATGCACATCAGCTTTTGAGAACCACTGGTCAAGGGGAAGCCTTTGGAGCAAATTCAGCATCCTTGAGCGGTTAGCCTCTGGTCAGTTCCTAGAGAACTAGGGCCCTAATGTAGCTAAAGGATTTAAAACGTATTCCCCCATTAGATGTCTTTGCTGAGGGTAGGAGCCATGTCTTCTTACATTGCACTTTCCAGCATCTAGGATGAGTGTCTGATGCTTACACTTTTTGGAGGCCTGTGAAAAAATGGACACAAGCACGTCATCTTAACCCAGACTGCCTTGTTGTGAGGGGCCCGAGAGGACGGGAGATAAAGGCTGTAGTTGGCTAGAGACTGTGGCTGAGCAGTCCTCCCTGGGAGCGAAGCCTGGGTGCTCTCTGACTTGCCACTGGGTTCCTGAATTCTGTCATCCTTTCTCCTCCAGCCTGTCTTGCATCCCAGTGTAAGTGGTCTTAAACCACGAAGCCCCACGTCCATGAAAATGTCGCTGCTGTAGCGACAAGGAGTGTGATCACCTGCACCCCTCCTGTGTGGTCCCAGCACAGGCCTGACGGGACGGCACTGGAGGAGCTCTTCTCTCCATTGCAGCTTGGTGCTGAGGAAGAGCCTGACAGCCTGTGGAATCGTGGTCAGCGTACTGGGCAGTGAGGAAGCTTCTAGCTCAGCACTGACGTTGTGATATTTGCTGTCAGTGACCTTCGGTTTCCTGATCTGTAAAACGTTGGGTCAAGACACATTTCATGTCTGTCCTTGACTCCCTGAGGGTTCTTTCTGGTCCCGTCCTCCTCAACTCTCCGAAATCTTACTCCTCTAGCTCATGGGCCGTCCTTCTGTCCCTCTAGTGAGCCCTCAAGGAAACTCAGTGTGTCTGTTGGCTGGATGCTCTGGAGAATCAAAGATGGGGCCTCCCATATTAATTTCAACATACGCTCTCTTACCCTGTTACATGGTCTAAGTGAGAAAAGGGGCAAATGATAACAGGCAGGAGACTGACTTCTTGACTTGGCTGCAGGTCCTGGTCCTCTTTTCATACCCAGCCTCATTCAGGGCAGCAGCGGCGACTGAGAAATGCTCAGATCCTCTTGTCACTGCTCTGGCTGGGGTGGCATTTTCTGGATGACATCCCTCTTACTTAGACTCTGCATACGTTTTTCTCTTACAACTTCGTACCCTGTGGGGCTTCAAGGGTTGGTTTGTTAGCTTTTGAATATACTTGTCATACATACTGTTTTTCTCTGGGTTAAACTGGGCTCTCCCCAAAACCTAACAATGTTACTTCTATGGTAAGGAGACCAATCAAAGTAACTACTTCATAAATATCTCCTGATGGAGGTATTAATTACTTCAGTATCTACTGAATTTCTTCCTTCAGTATGCTCTGGCAGCTTAATGAGCTGTGTTTGTATAAATCTATTTGTTATTATGTAGGTGTAATTATTTAATGGATATCTAGTCCGGGCTAGGCTGTGAAGGTCATTTTGGAAGAGTTGCTTGCTCTTTGAGGGTGTGTGTGTGTGTGTGTGTGTGTGTGTGTGTGTGTGTGAGAGAGAGAGAGAGAGAGAGAGAGAATGAAGGAGAGAGAGAAAGAGCAAAGGTGAGAAAATAAATTATAAAATCTGATGGAATGCAATCCTATTTGAATTGCCGTCCTTGCGGTTACTTAGAAACTTGAAGTGGAAGTCCTGGGAATGATGAAGAGACAGCAAAAATGTATTACTTATGTATTCTGGCTTTTTGGCTAATCTAAGCATCACGGCCTGCTTCTTGTCTCTTATAGGTCCGTGGGGCCCTGTGCTCAAGGCCAGTAACTGTGTACCCTGGGTTAATAACGAGAGTGGTCAGGGTTGACTTTACTGCGTGTTCCTCATAGGCTAAAGAATTGTGTGTAAAAAGATAAAAGAGGGAGGAAGGTAGATCTGCAAGGCCTTTGTTATATTTCTCATTTGTGTTACTGGTATGTTCTGACAGGAAAAGCTTTCAAAGGATATTGATTACCTTATTGGCAAGGAGAGCCAGGTGAAGAGCCAAATTTCTGAACTAAACTTGTTAATGAAAGAAACAGAGGTAAGTGATGAGCTGGTTTGCATGCTTTTATTTCTCCATCTAGGGAATTCATTCACTCATAACATCCGGAGGGCAGTAAATGAGCTCGGAGGACGAAGTTGAGGTAGGTTTCACCCTGCTTCTCCGGGCTTAGAGAAACCAGAGGTTTAAGCTATGATGTGTGATCTGTGCCCAGGAGAGGCGGTGATGAAATGCTGTGGAAGCACAGGGGAACGAATGACTGGCCCTTGACCTGGGCGTATCGATCTCAGAAGTAGTAACATCAGGTAAAGTTTGGAATTCTTGACAATTACCTTTCTTTTATGAGATTAACAGATTGCCTTTGAAGTATGTACTAGGTGTTGACTTAAAATGCACTGTTCTCAAGAGTATACCTGAGACAGGTTCACCAAAAGACACACATTAGAATGTTCATGGCTGGAATCTAATAGCCATGGAGTGGAAACTACCCAGCTATCCCTGAGCCCCAGAATATAATCACTTAAGAATGATGATCTGCAAAGGGGCAACAGTGTAGCTAAATCTTGGGTGAATGTTGAAAGAAAGATGCCAGAGCAAAGGAGCTCGAACTCTGTGATCTCCTTTATGAAAAGTACCAACAAAGGTGGAACGGGGTTCTGCTTAGAGTTCAGGACACGTGTCACTGAAGGCTAGGGAGGGCAAGGATCGTTGTCTGGAAAGGTTGGTGTCTGCGATCTGGGTACTGTTCCTTTTCCTTAATCTGGATATAGGTGACATGGTGTGTGTTTGCAAAGATTAGTCCGTTTCCACACTCACATATACATTTTTCTGTGTGTATATTATACTTCAGTTAAAAAAAGGGAGAAAATTGTATCTGGGCTAGTAAGAGACTTTTTTGAAATTTTATTTCAAGAAATTAATTTCATTTCCCAAAATGGGTTAAAGAAATTGAGATGTTCTGCAAATTAGCACCAGATCGCCAGCACTGCTTTTGTTTTACTCTTTTTCTGATACTCACCGATTGCATTAACCACCCTGAGTAAGTTGTTTTTCCATGTGCTTGAAAAGCGGGATTTTGTTTTTCTCATTTTTGTCTGATGACCCACTCTATGAGGGCGGTATCATCCGCTGCTTCAGGGGATCGTATCTTGGGTCATTGAAGGTTTGTTTCACTCCTGGTCCTCAGTCGTGCCGCCCTGACCTCTGAAATAAGGGAGCCCCAGGACTGGTTGCAGAGCTGGTGATTCACATGAGCTGTTCATGCAGACACTGAGTCCTTGGGCTCCTGGAGAAAGTACTTAGCTTCTTTGTGTCCTTTTCTCTGAAGCTACATTTGTGAGCTTATCAGCAGGAATCTCCTATACTTGGAAGAAATGGTCTGCATTCTTGACTTTGACTCCGTGAGGACTGTGACACTGTCCTTTTATTCTATAATTACGCTTAGCTGGAAAAAAAAAATTCCCCCTTTTTACCTACATGTAATTGGTCTTTTGAGTTTAATGCTGTAATTTATCACTGAAATACTACCAAAATGTCACCAACCTCTGTCCCCCTTCTTTCTTCCCTCCTGCCCACCCTTTACAAAAATTTCTGCCTGTTGGTTTAGGAAACAGAGGGGAGTCTGCAAAAAATTGCCTTTCATTAGAAATGTTGGCCAGAAGCCATTGGAAAGTACACAATGATCTTCTTCCATATGTTGTCAGCTTTTAAGAATGTGTTTGAAGACATTTTTTTTTTTCCTCTTGGCTGCTGCTTATGGGTCTGTAATGATGAATGCATGTGTGTGCTCTGCTGGTCCTATTTTCAAAATCGTGTTGGTCTCTGATTTATGGATGTTCAGAAATGTTCCATAAGCTCTACAGATAGGACCGTTTTATGACCAAGTAGACGAAGGGCTGCGTGTGCAGTGAGTATAATCGTTCTGTGTACAAAGTCTATGCCCTTGTTGTTGGCATTTTATGTAAATCTTTTTTTTTTTTTTTCTTCCAAGATCTTATTTATTTATCTGATAGAGATGTCACAAGTAGGGAGAGAAGCAGGCAGAGAGAGAAGGGAAAGCAGGCTCCCTGCTGAGCAGAGAGCAGGGCTCGATCCCAGACCCTGGGATCTTGACCTGAAACGAAGGCAGAGGCTTAACCCACTGAGGCACCCAGGCGCCCGTTATGTAAATAATCTTTACCAATCTTAAAAAACCTGAGTGGATCCTCTTATCCCCAGCTTTCAGAAGAGAAAAACTCAAGATATAACAGAAGTTAAATAATTTGCCTAAAGTCACAAAGGATTTAATTCTAATTAAGTTATATTAATTTGAAGAGAAGAGTTACATTTTTATATCTTAGTAAAAGATGTCATTTTTCTGAGTTTCATGCTGCGATTTAAGTTTTCTTAAAAAAATTGGAAGAGGGTAGAAAGGGTCAAACGTTGCCCGAATTAGAAATGAATGAAAAACTCCAGAATTGTGTGGTACATTGTCTTGGGTTAAATCAGTTAATTCCTGCCTCAGGTTCCTCTGTGTCCATGTTGAAGGTTGTTTCCTTATTTAATTGTTGATTGGTGCACTAGGGAGATGAAAGCTGGGGAAAAGTGTCCTGCAGTTACAAAGTACGTCTCACCAAAAGTTGGCGATCGTTCCTTGCGCAGGGCGTTCAATGCCAGACTATTGTTCTGAAAATACCAGAGTCAGACCAGATTAAATTTTGGTTATTTGGAGAAAAGACATGTGGATTTAGCAGGTGAGGTAATATAACCCTTGTGCCTGTTTTATAATAGTGTAATGGAGAGAGAGCCAAAGAAGAAGCAGTCACACATTTTGAAAAGCTCTTTGAAATTCTAGAAGAGAGGAAATCATCTGTTTTGAAAGCGATTGATGCATCTAAGAAACTAAGATTAGACAAATTTCAGACTCAAGTGGAGGAATACCAGGGACTTCTAGAGAACAATGGGCTTGTGGGCTACGCCCAAGAAGTGCTTAAGGAGACGGATCAGTCCTGTTTTGTACAGACGGCCAAACAGCTCCACCTCAGGTATGTTTGAGTTTAGAATCTCCTTGGCAGTGGCCTTCATGGCTACTCTGTTCCAGCTGGAGCTCCCGGGGCTTCCTAATGCTGTGCTCTGTGCGGACACTCTCACCGCACTCTTAAAACCCAAACACTGAGCGGCCCTTTTTTGGCTAATCACATCGCACATGTTTAGTCTGATGGACCTTTTACGGAGTTGTTTCTGTATAAACGATCTGCCCGCAGAATACAGAAAGCCACGGAATCTCTGAAGAGCTTTAGACCCGCGGCTCAGACGTCCTTTGAAGACTATGTTGTGAACACATCGAAACAAACAGAACTTCTTGGAGAATTGTCCTTTTTCTCTAGCGGTAAGTTTCGGTGACGGCCAAAGCTGCTCACTCTTGTCATGGGAATTCGCAATACACGGGAAAAACCCGCTCTTTGGTTTGGCAGCACGGAGAACCATGTTTTTAATGCACAGAGTGTAATTCTTCTGGTTTGTGTGGTTTTTAAACATCATATGGGGCGCCTGGGTGGCTCAGTCGGTGAAGCGTCTGCCTTTGGCTCAGGTCGTGAGCTGGGGGTCCTGGGTTCGAGTTCCGCGTCCGGCTCCCTGCTCAGCGGGGAGTCTGCTTCTCCCTTTTCCTCTGCCTCTCCTCCCTCTGAAGCTTGTGTGCGTGCTTGCTCTCTCAAATAAATCAATAAAAATTAAAAAAAAAACCCACATTGAATAAATGGCATCAGATTGCATGTGTATCCTTTTTGTGAGTTGTTTTTCCAAAAAATGAAGTTTAAGATGTTTGATGCTCAAAGAGTTCTGGTTTAAAGCTGTATTTTAGCTGCTCATAGTAGTTCATATAGAAATCATTTCCCTACCGAGAGACCATTTGTTTTTTCCCTGTTGCTGTGTTGAACGTCTTTGTCATATTCACTTGTGCACACCTGTATGAGTTTCTCTAGGGCAGAAACCTAGAAATGATGTCTCCAGGTGAAAACGGACTCTGAGAGGTTTTAAGTATTTACCTGGCCGTATCAGCTCATGAGGGCTGCTGAAACAAAACAGCATGGACTGCGTGCCTTGAACAGCAGAAAGGTATTTTCTTCAGTTCTGGAGGCTCGGAGTCGGAGGTCAAGGTGCTGGCAGAGTTGGTTCCTTCTGAGGCTGCTCTCCTGGGCTTGCTGATGGCGGCCTTCCGCAGTCTTCGTTACACGTCTGTCTCAATTTCTGCCCGTAAGGATTCCAGTCATGCTGGTCCTGGTGGATTAGTTCCCATCTTCATGACTTCACTTTAACTTAATTACGTCTATAAAGACTCTTTCTCCAAATACAGTCACATTCTGAAGTACTGGGGATTAGAACTGGGGCATCCACATTTTGAGGCTGTAACACACCCTCACGATGGTGTTTTGTTGTTCTCCAGTGGGGAGGTCTTCCCTTCCTTTCCCCTCCTTGCCTTGTTCATGTCTCCCCCACGATCTCTCTTCTAGTGACGGTGAGCAGTTACGGTCCCTACAGTGGAATACTTACAGGTTGATGACTGTGTAGTTACAGATGTGTGGATTTGGACAGTCACCTGAAGGAAGTTTGTCTTATTTAAAGTTACAAATTCTAGGGGCGCCTGGGTGGCTCAGTGGGTTAAAGCCTCTGCCTTCGGCTCAGGTCATGATCCCAGGGTCCTGGGATTGAGCCCCACATCGGGCTGTCTGCTCTGCAGGGAGCCTGCTTCCTCCTCTCTCTGCCTGCCTCTCTGCTTACTTGTGATCTCTGTCTGTCAAATAAATAAATAAAATCTTTAAAGTTACAAATTCTAGGGGCGTATGGTGGCTCAGTAGGTTGGGCCTCTGCCTTTGGCTCACGTCATGATCTCAGGGTCCTGGGATCGAGCCCCACATAGAGCTCCCTGCTCAGTGGGGAGCCGGCTTCCCTCTCTCTCTCTCTCTGCCCGCCTCTCTGCCTACTTGTGATCTCTCTCTCTAACAAAAAAAAAATCTTAAAAAAAAAGGTTAGAAATTCTACGGGTGTCTGGGTGGGTGGCTTAGTCAGTAGGGCATCTGGCTCTTGAACTTAGGTCTTCACTTCAGAGTTGTGAGTTCAAGCCTTACACTGGGCATGGGGCCTACCTAAAAGAAGAAGTTTTAAAGTTAAAAACTGAAGGATGATTACTCTGACCTCATTTCTTTCAAATCTATATTTGAATCTCCTTTCAGATATGTGCTTATCTTTTTTTTAAAGATTTATTTATTTATTTTTAGAGCACTTGTAAGTGGGGGTTGGTGGGGGACAGGAGAGGGAGAGAGAAAGAACCCTCAAGTAGACTTTGTGCTGTGTGTGGAGCCCGATGCAGGGGTTGATCCCAGGACCCCGAGACCATGATCTGAGCCAAAATCAAGAGTCAGACGCTCAACTGACTGAGATCCCCAGGCACCCTGGTATGTTTATTTTTATTATAAGGCTCTTCTTTTTTTAAATACATATTTGTTACTCTTTCAAATGCTAATTCTGCTTCAGGTACTGTAGTCTCCCTTTTTCCAGAAGGTAGACTTGAATTGTTTTTCATACATGAGCTGGTTTACTTAGGAGAACAAGGTCCTCTCTGCCCTAGGGGTCCCAAAATAGTCCTTGGAAAGAGGATGTTGATGGTTGGGAATCTTGGGTTGGACCAGTGTCTGACAAAGAACCAGGGGGTGGATGGGTGACGGGAAAGTCATTCCCCAGCTCCTGACTACTCAATGGTCTCATTGTTCCCTGCATGCACATGTTTTTTAGTAAGGGGGGGTATGGGTGGGGGTCTGTACTACTCATGTTATTTTGCCCCCCCCCCCACCCCAATGTATTTTGAATGACTTTCCAGATCTCATTATGGCTCTGTAACTTCCGGTTGCACAAACGTTCCATACCCAGACGGGCTTCTGCATTGCTCGTATGTTTCTGGGAGAGGCTCTGATTTGATAGAAATGTGTGTGGGGTGTGTGTGTGTGTGTGTGTGTGTGTGAGAGAGAGAGAGAGAGAGAGAGAGAGAGAGAGACTTTGCTAGCTTATCCTAAGCTGTTAAGCTTACTGGAATTCTTCTATGGAAGGGATCCTGCATATGCATGCAGGCTTAGCTACGATACTTTTGTCTCGTATTTTTCATGAAAAACTGGAAACCGAGTTCTGATCATTGTTATATACGTATTGATACAGCCATGGCATGGGGTGCCAGGGGGAGAATCTGCACAAAAGTATTACACTGAGTATCTTTGAGTTGCTTCAAGTGTGTTATATATAGTTCCTGATTTTTTAAATAAAAAATAACTATCATGTTTATGCCAAGAAAAATTAACTTAAATCATTTTGCAACTCTTTGGAACACAATCTGGAAGAAAATCATGGAAGCTTCATTGAACTTCGTCAGACTGGCCAAACTTAGAGTTGAAAGTATTTATTAAAATAATTCCAGGAGGACACAGATTAACAATTTCAAGTCCAGTGTTGTTACTTAGTAGGTGGAAATGGAAATGCAGATGGTTTAAAAACTTCAATTTACGGTGTTTCAGAATGAATGTAACACGTAAAGCTGCTACTGAATCTTTTTTCGTCTTCTCTGTCGTTCTCCTTCCTTTCAAGTATGAACCTTAAATATACCTTTAAAAGTCTTTTGTGCTTATTCTTTTTCATTTTCAATTTTGTGGTAAGAGCACGTAACTTGAAATCTGTTATTTTAATTTGAAGGGTGGAACACAGCGTCATTGACTCTGAGTACGATGTTGTACTGAGTTTTCTCTAGAGCATCTTCGTCTTGCTTGACTGATAATTTATGCCTCTTGATTAATAACTGCTTGTTGCTCCTTCCTCCAGCCCCCAGCAGTCTGCATTCCAGTCTTTGATTTTGTGAATTGGGCTCTTTGAGATTCCTCATAGAAGTGGGATCGTGTGGTCAGCGTAGGTGTCTGTGTCTGGCGTATTTCAGTTTGCATGTCCATAGGGCCCGTCCCTGTTGTCACACATTGCCAGAATTGGTCCTTTTCTTAAACACAGCATTACAGATTCAGAAAATTCTTGGACCAGGGCACCTGGGTAAGCATCTGACTTTGGCTCTGGTCTCGATCCCAGGATCCTGGGATGGGTTCGCATCCGGCTCCCTGCTCAGCAGGGAGCCTTATTCTCCCTTTGCCTGCTGCTCCCCCTGCTTGTGCTCGCTCCCTCTCCTGCTGACCAATAAATAAAAGCTTAGAAAAAAGAGGAAAATTCTTGGACCATGCAGAAACGATTAAAGTTATTTGTCGGTATATCATTTTTACGGAGGGGCATGCAGGTTGTGAAACACTGTGATTTTACCACCTTTCGTATGTTGCTGCTTTCAGGCATAGACGTGCCGGAGATCAACGAGGAACAGAGCAAAGTGTATAACAATGTTCTGATCAACTGGTACCATCCCGAAAAGGATAAAGCGGATAGCTACGTCCTTGAGTATCGGAAGATTAATAGAGATGAAGAAATGCTGTCTTGGAACGAGATAGAAGTCTGCGGCACCAGCAAAGTGATCTCAGACCTGGAAAGCAATTGTAACTATGCTTTCAGAGTGAGAGCCTACAAGGGCTCCATCTGCAGTCCTTGCAGCAGGGAGCTGATTCTTCATACCCCGCCGGCTCCAGGTAGTGTGAATGTGGGGGATCAGAAAGCCTTGGAGTCTGAGGAGACCTGAATAAAAAATAACCGCACCAGCTCTCTGTCTAGATCCACAGTAAAACCAGCATTCGTTTGTTTAAAAAAAAAAAAAAAATTCTAGAAAACTGATTTTATCCCCAGGTAGGTTTAGGAAGAAACCGCATGCTTGAATTTCACCAGGTAGCCTGGGAACAGGATTAGAATTTGGCCTGACATAGATAGAGAACATGAAGAACTTCGACTGAGCAGGGCTACTAATTTGAGATTAAAAGCGCACAGATGCTACCTCACGAGTTTTAAGTAGTAGAGTTCTGTATTTTTGGTGAGTATATAGGAAACTCTACAACATAGATCTAGGTAGATTTTTAAAAAATTATTGTTATGAAATATTGTTGTGATTAAGCTCCTTCTGACTTGTCCGGATCTTTTCTTTCTTTCTTTTTTTTTTTTTTTTTTAAGATTTTATTTATTTGACAGACAGAAATCACAAGCAGGTAGAGAGGTGGGCTTAACCCACTGAGCCACCCAGGGGCCCCCGGATTTTTTCTCAGCAACTCAGTGATTCCCCACATGCACGGGGTTGGAGGACAAATGTTAGAACCAAGTGGAAGCTGCACCTCCCCCTGCCCCCCAAAAGCTCCCCTTTTGCAGCCCCCTCCCCCACCTTCAGAGTCAGAACTGCTGCAGCTCATGGAGCTCCTGTAGATTTTTCCAGAATGAGAATCACCAGGTCCGGTGCCGCCTGTAGCATCTCCATGGACGAGTGATCCAGGAGCAAAGTTGTACTGCTGTGTGTAGCAGGAGAACATTTGGGCCTATTGGTCGCTGCCTTGGAGCTTCCTCCAGTTGGTCTTTAGACCCTGCTGCCCCCTCCCCCCGCCCCAGTTCAGTGGCTCACGAGCCCGTATTTCATACACCCTTGTCTTTCCTTCCCCTTTTGTCCAAAGTGTACACTCCACTGCGTGTTTTTCATGCCCATTGTGGCCAGTTTATTTTTTTTTAAAGTTTTATTTATTTATTTATTTGTTTGACAGAGATCACAAGTAGGCAGAGAGGCAGGCAGAGAGAGAGGAGGAAGCAGGCTCCCCGCTGAGCAGAGAGCCCGATGCAGGGCTCGATCCCAGGACCCTGAGATCATGACCCGAGCCGAAGGCAGAGGCTAAACACTGAGCCACCCAGGCGCCCCCCATTGTGGCTAGTTTAAAAAAAAAAAGAAATTAGAATTCAGATACAGATCAGGGTTGGCTAACATTGTTCATCTTGAATTTGAATAAAATCCAATAAGAGAGTTTGAGGATGGATTTGTAAGTACTAAGTGATATTTTACCATATGTAGTTTCCCCTTTCTTTTCTCTGCTCTCTGACTCAAAGTGGAATTAGAAACCTGGAAGTAGCTGCTATTTTGGGGGAACATATGTGGTGGACAGGGAAGGAAGAAACGACATGTTCCAACTTACCTTCTTTTTTTTTTTTAATTAAAAAAATTTATTTATTTGACAGAGATCATAGGCAGAGAGAGAGGGAGATGTGGGTTCAATCGCAGAACCCTGAGATTATGACCTGAGCCAAAGACAGAGGTATTAACCCACTGAGCCACCCAGGTGCCCTTTTAATTTTGTTTTTAAGTAAATCGACACCCAATGTGGGGTTTGAACTCTCAACCCCAAGATTGAGAGTCACACGCTCTGCTAACTGAGCCAGCTGGGTGCTCCCAAAGCTGACTTGCTTTTCTCTGAGAGAAGCCGTGTGAATGGGGTGACCAATCAAATACATTTTTTTGTAAACCAGGAGACACTTGAGATGGACCGGAAGCAGGAATGGTCACGGCAGGACAGTAAGCATTACCAGGAAGATTGGTCAGCCTGTAAACGGAGAACGGCTTTAGCTTGCTAGTAGACATTTTTTAAAAAATTATGGTATGTGATATAGTTAAAAATGACCATTTTAACCATTTTTAAGGGTACAGATCAGTGACACTAAGTACATTACCCTGTTGGGTGGCCACCACCACACAGCTCTAGAACAGCTTTATTTTTTTCCACACAGAACTCTCTGCTCATTAAACACCAACTTGCCATTCCTTCTTCCCACAGAGCCTGGGAACCTCTTTTCCACTCTCTGCCTCTGTGAATTCTCCTGTATCTCACAGAAGTGAATGATCTAATCCTTCTGTTCCTGGTGTATTTGGGGCTTCATCCGTGTTGCAGCACGTAGCAGAATTTCCTTGCCTTTTTTTTAGGTGGAATACTATTCAGTTGTATGGATAGACCACATTTTCTTTATCCATTCCTGTGTTGATGGACATTTGAGTTGTTTCTACTTCGGGGCTAACAGCCAATGTCCTGCTTCATATATTTGAGTTGATAGAGACTTAGAAGAGTGGCATTATGTCCATCCCTTAGTGGAGGAAATCAAATTTTTAAATCCTTAAGCAGGAATTAAAACTCATCTCTCTAAACCCCAGACCTTTGCCTTTTTTTTTTTTTTTTAAACATCATGCCCTGTGTCTCATCTCTGCCATGTTGATTGATAAGGAAAAGCCCCCAGTAGAATAGGTAATGTTTTCCAAATCTATAGAACGTGGAATGCATGTTTAGGAAAATGTACAGATAATTACGAAAATGAACAGTCCCTTATTTTGAGCAAAGGGACAGATCTAGTAGTGTAAAACATTCAGAAGAGATCTGCTCTGTCTCTTGCAAGGAACCCCATCGGTAGGTTTTCTCATACACTTAAAATGCTTGCTTCTGCCGTCCGACATTTCTTTTTTTTCTTTTTTTTAATTTTATTTATTTATTTGACAGAGCTCACAGAGAGGCAGAGAGAGAGAGGAAGGGAAGCAGGCTCCCTGCTGAGCAGAGAGCCTGATGTGGGGCTCGATCCCAGGACCCTGGGATCATGACCTGAGCCGAAGGCAGAGGCTTTAACCCACTGAGCCACCCAGGCGTCCCTGCCATCCAACATTTCTGAGCACGTTTGGATGGAGAGATTCTCCTGGAGGTGATCTCCCGGTCAGGACGTTGGTTTGTCCCAGTTTGTTGAGGGCAGTGTGAACTATCCCCTCTCGGCTCGTTTCAGTCCTTTCTGGTTCAAGACCAGATCGAACTGCCAATTACAGAAACCCTAACACGTAGTCATCAGACTAATTCCAAGCTCTCTCCACAGTTTTCAGTTTCCTCTTTGATGAAAAATGTGGCTACAATAATGAACACCTCCTGCTGAACTTGAAGAGAGACCGCGTGGAGAGCCGAGCCGGGTTTAATCTCCTGCTCGCGGCAGATCGCATCCAAGTGGGTTATTACACGAGCCTGGACTACATCATCGGAGACGTTGGAATTACCAAGGGGAAGCACTTCTGGGCCTTCCGTGTGGAGCCGTATTCCTACCTGGTCAAGGCAGGCGTCGCTTCCAGTGATAAACTGCAGGAATGGCTCCGTTCTCCCCGGGATGCAGTTAGTCCAAGGTAGGTCGTCTTACCGGTCTAGGGCTCGAGAATCCTTCTGCAGGTAAACAGCCTTGTCACGTGCAAGGCAAGCCAGGAAGTCCGCCTGGGTTTACTTACCGCGGTCCGAGTGCTTTCCTTCGACCCTGGTGCTTTGGCTGCGGGTCGGTGGCTGGCTGAGGAAAGGGGTTGGGTTGTCTTGTATTTCCACAGTGAGAATTGCAATTCAGCAATTCCTTTTGGTGCTGTGAGGAGGTGAGTCTGTTCTGGATACCTCTGGACTGTGCTTTGCACTTTGAAATTTCAAAAGGTTTTCATCTCCGCTACCTTGCTGCTTTGTTTCTGTGGTCAGTGCTACTCAAGTGCATGGTGAAGTGCTTCTGATGGCCATACTTCAGAACAGATAGGAAGTCGTTCTTTTGTTACGGGGCACAGTTTTCTTCAAAGTCCCCTGTAAGGATTTTACAACATTGAGTGATGGGACGTGGGTTTCCATATCAGAGACTTCCAGTTTCTTAAGAGATGGGTGATTGAACCGAGATGGTATGGTTTTGTTGTTTCAGATGGGATAAGGTCTACTAGCCCACACAGTCCATTTTTGATCACTTGTGTGAACAGAATCCCAAATTAATAATTGGAGTTGATAGGAAGAGCTTTTTGCTCAAGGGTGAAAAAAAGACAAAACGATGAAAACAGAAATTGGGACATGGTCAGTTAAACATAATGCCATAGACCTAGAATATTGATAGAAAATTGGCATTCATAATCTTTAAAAAGTTTATAACATCAGAAATATTAGAAGTGAAAAAATCCAATTAAAAGTGTCAATGTACCATAATCACAAATATGTAAGAAGTGAACTCTGCCTGGGAAGAAAATGGAAGGACCTTTGTATCCAAAATTTATATAAGCTGCTACTGTTCTATATTTGTTGGGGGAAAAAACCCCTCATTCTTGTTTGCTTGCCTCATAGAACCGTGTAGAAATCCCAGTCCAGAATGAGGGTTCTTAGGACCATGAAACATGACTTTTTCTCCTGCATTGTTTTGCATTGCCCGTGTATTTTACTTGAATTTGCCAATTCCTTGTGTTAGGGCACACATCTTGGTTTTATATATATATGTACTTTTTATGTATGATTATGTGCTATGAATATTTAATCTGACCATTCCCTTCCATTTTTTCCTTCTGTTATTACTTATTTTAAGCAATCTCTACACCCAGTGTGGGGCTTGAACTCATGAGCCGGAAACAAAAGTCTGAGCCAGCTAGGCACCCCTCCTGCACTTCAGTTCTGAGAGGCCAGAGTCCTGAACTATTTTATAGGGTTTTATTATTATTCTCATCTGCAGGTATATATATATATGGACATTTTATGATCGTTCATGACAAAGAATTTCGGGCTGAGTCTCTGGTATCACTCTAAATGGCCATGTGTAGTCGTCATGTTTTTAACTGATCTGTGTCTTAATAAAAGTTTTTGGTGTACGGTTTAATTTGAAAGCGATGCATATCATTGCGTGAAACCGTTTGGAGGCCCCCCGAAGGCCTGTGGCTTGGCGCCCCAGCTAAGACTCCATGCGTTTCGTTCCAGATACGAGCAAGACAGTGGCCATGACAGCGGAAGTGAAGACGCCTGCTTTGACTCCTCACAGCCGTTCACACTGGTCACCATCGGCATGAAGAAGTTTTTCATACCCAAGTCAGCCACGTCTGCCAACGAGCCTGAGAACAGAGTTCTCCCCATGCCCACGAGTATAGGGATTTTCCTTGACTATGACAAAGGCAGAGTGGCTTTCTATGACATGGATCACATGAAATGCCTTTACGAGCGCCAGGTGGACTGCTCACACACCATGTACCCAGCATTTGCCTTAATGGGCAGCGGGGGAGTCCAGCTGGAGGAACCCATCACGGCAAAATACCGAGAATACCAAGAGCACATGTAGTTTAAGCATCTGACGTGACTTAGGGTAGAAAGGGGAGCAGAATAATGCCTTGGTGTTAACCTTCGTAACTAATTACATATCCTCTAAGTAGTCTGTGATCACAGTGGTTTTTGTGCGTGTTTCCTCTTAGGTCGGAAAACCTAAAAGGTTCTGCCTCTTCCTGTCGTCGTCCTGCCTTTCACAAGCCATGGGAGTAAAGACCCTCCTGGTTAATTAACTCTGAAATGGTTAACTCTCTAACTGGATTGTCTGTCTTTTTTTATGAACAGGAAATCTAATTTATTTATGTCAGCCCTGTTGCTGACACTTACATGTCTTTCTTTGGGGGGAGGGAAGGGATACAAAAGTATTTATTATTACATTTCTTTGGTGTTCGATTTTTTCATTTTGTATCATGTTCATGTCTTAAGATACTTTTTAGATGCCTTATGGGTGGAAATTAGTACTTAGCTTGTGTCTCACATATGTTTTTCATAGGAGAACAAAAGTATAGATAGGTTAAAAAGGTCAGAGAAAGGGTAGTATATTTAAATGGAAGATTATGTATTTTGAGGTGTATAACCGATTTTCAGAGTATATTCCCTGCAAAATGAATACTGCTTTTTTTTTCTTTTAAGATTAAAAATTGTATTTTTAAGGATATTTTAAAGAGTTCCTTTAGCTGTAATGCCCACACCTTTGTGTGTAGTTAAACATTGTTTGTTTGTTTGTTTTTTTGCAGGAAACACAAAGTTCTTGGCTAACACTTGAAACTTGTCACTTCATATAAAATTTGTCTTCAGTTTTTCTTACTCTATGAAATGAGTTATATCAAATAATTTATTTTTTACAAATATTAGTGAAGATTCACTGATATTTAGCATATTGGTTCTTTTGCCCTCCTATCGTGTCCTGTGATTTTATGATTTTCTTTTTGGCACCGATACTGTATATTAAATTGTCCTGGTTTATGTTTACATGTTTGGAAAGTTCACGACTTATTTTTAAAGTCATTAAATTATTCTAAAATGTGAAGTAACTGGTCAGTTGGATGTTGTTTTCTGTGGCCGATTGTTTAGCAGTAAGCGTCTGTAAAAGTAAGTAAAAGACAAATCTGGTTGTTTAGGAATAATAACAAAAATCATAGTGACTGTGTACCCTTTTAACAGCTCTTGTTTGAAGAATTAATATTTTAATTGAAATGTTATGTTCATTTTTAAATGCTGTCTCTTACCTAGATGCTTTTTTAATTTAAACTGTGTATTTTTTAGACATTAAAATACTCAGAAGCTAGACTGTTGTACACTTTAGCACTCATGGTTTTGAAATGCTCTTGACCTATTTTGATAGACCAACCCAAATCTTTGGCCTTACCTGGTTTCCTTGTTTGTTTGTTTTTAATACATATTTTTAAATGGGAATCTGTCCCTCAGGCAGGTAGCATCAAATTAGCTTTTTCGTCACCAGCGCAAGTGGGAGCTCTCACGGTGAAGTTCAGCATTGAGCAGGCCTTGTTCGGTTCCCACCGATGAATAGCGCTTTACGACGTAGGCTAACTAAATTTCTGCAGTGTTCGTGGGTCATTGTGCATTCGGGCTGCTAAAGCCCTGTGTGTGGTGTGGTTTGAGTCTCAAGCCTGTGTAAGCACATACCGTGTAGACATTTTTTTTTTAAAGTTCTTATTTATTTATATGACAGAGATCACAAGTAGGCAGAGAGGCAGGCAGAGAGAGAGAGGAGGAAGCAGACTCCCTGCTGAGCAGAGAGCCCAATGTGGGACTCGATCCCAGGACCCTGGGATCATGACCTGAGCCGAAGGCAGAGGCTTTAACCCACTGAGCCACCCAGTCGTCCCTACCGTGTAGACATTTTAAAAGCTTAAAAGGAATAGGAAAGGTGCATAAAACCTTGTAGAGCTGTATAAGAATCATTCTCCTGGATTCTTTCATTTTCAGTAAAAACTGAAATACATGTAACTGTTGGACCACATCCTGGGAATCCTCAGTCTGTTTACGTGGAAAATGGAAACAAATCACTGATAAGAGAAGTTTCAGCGGAGTATATTAACTTAGAGCTAAAGTTTTACGTAAGGTTTTTGGGCATGTACTTACTAGCTCTAATTCTTGTCGAAGCGGTCATTAGAAAAGCTTAACGTGAAACTAGTTTACTTCAGCTAACTGATCGGATTGTCAGGAGACAGCTCCTTTTCTGCTCCGTAATCAGATTTTAATCAGAAGACTCTTCAGCTCATAGTTGCAGTTGCTTTCAGAAAAGTAAGAGGATTCAGAGCTATCTCCTAGGCATTGAACACACTCCAGTCATCATCGGATTAGAGTGTGTCCCGTGTGGGAATACCATCAATCCTGGCATGGCTACAGAAACTGGAGAACCAAATGTTAAAGACAAGACAGGCCCGCCTTCATTTTAGAAGAACTTCACCAGCATGTTCACGGCGATGAACATCCTGAGAATTGAAGTTTCTCCTGGGACTCGACTCCCGCTCTTTCTGAGACATGGAGCTGTGTACTGGTTATAAGGTGACCAAGACCACCCAGCCAGGTTCCTGCTCTTAGGAGCTTCCTTTTGAGAAAAGTGCTAGAAGAGTGATTGAGGAAGGGGCTGTTAGACTGGGCGGTCAGGGACGCCCCTTTAGAATTATGACACCTCACCCCGAATGAGCTGGCCCTACAAAGAGCTAAGTGATGAGCATGCTGGGTAGAGAATAAGGGAGCTCAAGAAGGCTTTGAGATGGCAAACTGGTGAAGCCAGGGTTCTGGCAGGAAGTAGCCTTCACAATAGAAGGGCCAGTTGAAACGGTAATGAAAAGATTACTTAGAGATGTGAGCCACCCTGGAGAAACTGGTGAGGCCCTGGAAAGACGAGTCACCATTCAAAGCCATTGCTGTGTCTAGAGCAAGGAAGGCAAGGGGAAATTGTGTTCCAAGATGTTGGGGGCAGAGAGACATTAAGGAAGGGTTGCTTGCTGGGAGTTGGGCTCACCTGACCCTTGAGACTGGTGCCAGGACATGGAGGGAGTAGAAACATCCTTCACTGGATCTGTTGCTGCTACTTATTGGCCAAACCCTACTGGCCACCACCCAGCAAGGGCTCTCTTGAGATGCAGACAGTGAAGAAGAGCTTCCTGGGTTGGAGACGCTCAGGTGTCCATAACTCCTCTTTAAATTGTGTCTTCCCGCCCCGCAACACACCGTACTCCCCATTTCCCTGCTTGAGTTGTTTGCTTGACGCCCTTAGACATTTCACTTTGTCTGCATTTTCTAAAATATTAGCGCCCCCAAGACAGGAGTGGTACCCAGTTTTTATCACTTCTGGATCCCAGCACATTGAATCTCTCCTGCTTACCAGCCCTAGGACCCTCTGTTGCTTTCCCTTACGTAGCCCCTGTGGTTTCTGATCCTGCCTGGAGATTGGCAAGGGTAAATGCAGCTCACTGGGTCTTCCCAGTACAAGCTTTCCGATTTGACTTTTCCTCCACCAGGTCATTTACCACCCCCTCCATCTGCTCTCATGTCCCTATCATTAACGGTTACACAGGTCAGCTGATAGTGCTTGGAGCTGGCTTTTCAGTTTCTTGTGTATCTTTGTTTTAGGATGGTTTTTTCCTTTGGGAGGGGGTACGATTTTCAAGAGGAAGAGGCAAGTAGGACGTTGCCATCTTGGAACTAGAAAAAGTATTTTGCAGTGATGGATCATAAAATGAGTATTCAGATCTTAATTTTATAACACAAGTTTTTGTGTTTTTTTTCGTAATAGAGTTGTAATGTGTATGTGCTTGGCTGAGGACACTGTCTTGGAAAATCTCTTATAAATTGCACTTTTATTGTATATGGTGAGTAGATTCAATATGATTTGAGATTTGAGAGTTTTAAGATACTTTGTCATCCTTAATTTGTTTCCCCATTTCGATTTTGTTTGCCCTAAATGATCTCTCCACTTTCAGGTAAAGCATGTCTGACGATCAGGAACTATGTGTAGCCCAGAAATGATCTTCTTGGTAAAATTTCTTGAGTTGTCAGTTCTGCTTGTAATTTTAACATGTGAAATTAAAAAAAAAAAAAAAGTTTTTTTTTTTCCCCAGTAATTCCTACCCCCAAGATGGGGCTTGAACTCCAAACCCTGAGAAGAGGTTTCTGCCTTCGGCTCAGGTCATGTTCCCAGGGTCCTGGGATCAAGCCCCGCATCGGGCTCTCTGCTCAGCAAGGAGCCTGCTTCCCCCTCTCTCTGCCTGCCTCTCTGCCTGCTTGTGATCTCTGTCTGTCAAATAAATAAATAAAATCTTTAAAAGAAAAAAAGTCGCAGACTGAGCCCACCAGGCACCCCTCACATGTGACGTTTGAATTCCTTCTTACATGTGCATAATTCCTTCACATTGTTGGGTGATGAGGAAGCATGAAGACATTCATGAAATGCTGTAGAGGGTCAGTACGTTGTAGTAGGAGCCTACGCAGTGATCTAGCTGCAGTTTATAGGTTGAGGAAAAGAAAGTAAGTTGGCGTGCTAGCTTGTTATGTTAGATGTTTTATATTTGATGCCAGGAATTCTCAAGGCATTTATTCCCCATGTGATTCTGTGGAACACGTGTCCAAAGCAGTGGTGAGTTTTGGATTCATACGTGAGTTTTGTCATTTAATACCTGTGTGATTTTATTTTTTTCATTTTTTAGTTATTTAGTTGAGAGAGAGAGGGAGAAGCAGACTCCCCGCTGAGCAGGGAGCCCGCTGTGGGGCTCGATTGCAGAACCCTGGGATCATGATCTGAGCCCAAGGCAGACGCTCCCATGTTCTGCTTTTCCGCAGCATTCCCCAAAATGGTATTTAACTCTGTAATATCTTTTACGAATGATCAGAACACCCTCGAATACACGATGGTACTAGGGGAATCATAAGTAGTCTGTTCACCTGCTCTTAATTGCGTCTGACGCCCAGAGCGAACCTAGAAAGAGGTAGATGAATCCCTTGGGGTAGAATTCAGACAGATAAAAATTAAGTCTCGATTCTGAGCCATCAAGATCCGACAGCCCAGGCGTCTGTCTTTGTTATCACTTCACAAGGAGCCCCGGCTCCTGAAACACAGAGGAAAAGGTCTTGGGTAACGTCTGGTAGTCCGAGTCAAGCTTGGGCTTCTCGGGGACACTTAGCTCAGGCTAGATTTCTCTGCCGCTCCAGGAATGGAGGACTAATTAAAAAGCCACACAGCAAGTGTGAAAAGGCATGCGACTCACCTGGGGATCTTGGTAAAATGCAGATTTTAATTGAGTAGGGCTGAGTGGGGACTGGGGCGTGTGCATTGCTAACCAGCTTCCAGGCGAGATCCGGGCCTCAGGCTCACGGGCACACGGGAGGCATCAGCTGGGCTTAAACACCAGAGGGTTCTGGGATGTGAGGCACCAAGACAGGACTAGTTTGCAGTGAAAACGTGGCCGGCTCGACTGGAATGGGAGCCGTACTCCGAGGTGGGCCTCCTGAGATTTACAGGTAAGGTACAGATTTTCTTTTAATGCCATTTTGAAAGCTTGCACATTTAGGCAAACACTTAATTGAAACTCCCCAGATACTGTGTCGAATGGTATTCCATGTTGAGGCTTCCAAAAGAATACGGAGTCTGTAGGGATCGCCAGCCATTTAAGAAAATCAGCCACTCACAGCAGGTATCTTTGAGAAATGTGAGTAGAATTTGCTTGATCTGACCCGTGGTCCCCCATGATACTAGAAGGTGTTAGTTGCAAAACATACCCACAGCTAAAAGACTTGCCTAGATAAGCATCAGTGATTCCGGAAGTTTGCCGCGTATTGATTATGCTCCAGAAACGGCTAATTGCATATCGGAGACCTTATTTGGATTCTCCCAACATGGCTAAGGAGAGTGTATCCCTTGTTAAAAAACAAAATCCAGGGGCACCTGGGGGGCTCAGTCAGATCATGACCTTTAGCTCAGGTCATGATCCTGGGGTCCTGGGATCGAGTCCTGCATCGGGCTCTTTGTTCAGCGGAGAGCCTGCTTCTTCCCTTGTCTGTCGCTCCCCCTGCTTGTGCGCTCTGACAAATAAAATCTTGAAAAAACAAAAAATGAACAAAATCCAGCTGAGTAAGTTTGGGGATCGCAGCTTTTATCAAACAATAGAAGGCTTTTATTTTTAATTTAATTTTTTCAGTGTTCAAGATTCATTGTTTATGCACCACACCCAGTGCTCCCTGCAATGAGGGTTTTGGAGGAGAGGGGGGTGTGAGGGTTTGGGTGAGCCTGATGGTGGGTAATAGAAGGCTTTTATAGCA